GGAGGCTGAGGCAGGAGAATGGCGTAAACCCGGGAGGCGGAGCTTGCGGTGAGCTGAGATCCGGCCACTGCACTCCAGCCTGGGCGACAGAGCGAGACTCCATCTCAAAAAAAAATAATAATAAAAAAAAATAAAAATAAATGGTGATGAAATGAGTATTACTGGTGCATATGGAGTGAATGGTTGAACAGTAGCGATAACACCGAGAGGCTGATAATAAATCATGCAAAATGTTGAAATGGGCTTGATCTATGCAATCATCATCATTAGCTAGAAACTAGGAAGAACTCTTTGGTGTGGTAAATATTGGATGGCTAATGTTCATTTAGAAGAAGTCTAGGAATTTTGAGTAACATATCATGGTGAATTGCTGCTAAAAGTTGTTGCAAGGCCTGGATGATTCCATTGGTTCAACGGCTGCTTCACCAAAATTTGTACTGGGGCTCCAGTGTAGATTCATTCATCCATTCATTCATTTGTTCAACAAATACTTGATTACTTACTGTATCTCAGGTACTTTTAGAGGCACTGGAGGTGTAAATGCATAAATAAGACATTAGTTCCTAACCTTATGGAACTGACATTCCAGTTGAGAGAGACACACAATATTTAAGATAACTAAGTACCTATTAGATTAGTCTTAGGGAGAAAAAAATTAAAGCACAGAAGGGGAATCTAAGGCTATGTGTGTGTGTGTGTGTATTCAGGGTTGAGGGTGGTGTGGAATTGAAATTCTTAGAGACGTTACCAGGAAAGGCCTTTCTGAGAAAGTGACATTTGAACAAAAACATGAGGGAGGGAAGGGCAGAGAGTGAGGGAGTGCAAGCGGAGCAAGCCCTGAAGATATCAGGGGTAAGAGAATTCCAGGCAGAAGGAATAAGTGCAAAGGCTCCGAGGGAAGAGTGTTTCATTTTCAAGGCCAATGAGAAGAGGCAAAAGAGGGGTAGAGTAGTAGCAGATGAGGTCAGAGAGGCCTGATCACACAGGGCGTTGCCTTTTACAACAGGGGAGGCAAGAAGCTATTGCAGGGAGGGTGGTCTCATCAACAGAGTTACAGGACCTGATATACATTTTTAAAAAGATCTTTCTAACTGTTGTGTCATGATTAAACCAAAGAAGGGCAATGTCAGATGCAGAGAGACAAATTGGGAGGCTGTTGCAATAATCTAGGTGAGAGATGATGTGGCTTGGACCAAACTCTTAGCAGAGGAGACAGAAGTTGCCAGATTCTGTGTACATTGTGACAGTACAGCTGATAGGATTTGCTGACAGATTCTTTGTGGCATATGAGAAAGTGAAGAGTTAAGTATGAATCGAAGGCCTTTGGCCTTAACTACTAGAAGGATGGAGTTGCCATTAACTGATATGGAGAAGACAGGATGAAAATCAGGCCTGGGGATGGAGAATTGCAGAAGCTCAATTTTAGATCTGTTTATCCTATTAGAGATCCAATCAGGAGATCTGAGTAGACAGTTGGATATAGGTATCTGGAGGTCTCACTGTAGATATTAAGTTGAAGTCATCAGCATATCGATGGTATTTAAAGCGGTGAGGGCTGGGTGCGGTGGCTCATGCCTACAATCTCAGCACTTTGGGAGGCTGAGGTGGGTGGACCACCTGAGGTCAGGAGCTTGAGACCAGCCTGGCCAACATGGTGAAACTCCATCTCTACTAAAAACACAAAAATTAGCCAGGCGTGGTAGCGCACACCTGTAATCCCAGCTACCCGGGAGGCTGAGGCAGAAGAATCGGTTGAACCTGGGAAGTGGAGGTTGCAGTGAGTCGAGATCGTACCACTGCACTCCAGCCTGGGTGACAGAGCAAGACTCAGTCTCAAAAAATAAAAATAAATAATAAAGCTGTGAGGTTGGTTGAGATCACGTATGGAGTAAATATGAAGGAGAAGGGAGGGTGGTAGCAGGGTAAGGGGATAATAAAACTACGTATTAGGCACAGTGTAAACAACTCTGGTGACAGGTGCACTAAAATGTCAGGCTTTACCACTATACCATTCATCCATGTAACCAAAACCCATTTGGACCTCTAAAGCTATGGAAATAAAAAAGAAGAAGAAGAAATAAACTCCAAATTCTGGGGCATTCCAACATAAGAGGTTAGGAAAATAAAGAGGAAACACCAAAGGATACTAAGAAGAAGCTTCCAGAGAGGCAGGAGATAAATCAGGTGATTGTGATGACTTAGAGGCCTAACGAAGACTGATCTCTAGAGGAGGAGCGGGAGCCGCCTCTGAAGAGCTGCTGATAGGCCATGTAAGAGGATGGAGAACCAACTGACCACAGAAGGCACAAACATGGAGGCCGCTAGGAACCGTGTAAAGATAGTTTCATGGAAGAGTGAAGCTAAAGTCCCATTGGAACGGTTTCCCAAAAGAATGAGAGGGGAGACATTGGAGACGGTAATTGTAAACAATTTCAGAAGATGTACTGTAAAGGAAGAAGAGAAATGTTGAAGCTGGCTGAAAGGGGAAGTGGGCTCAAGAGTTGTTTTTCTTTTTTAAGAAGAAAGAAATAGCAGCATATTTCTATGATTCCAGGAATTACCCAGCAGCAGAGAGAAAGGGTAGGGGTGGCGATGAAGACAGAGAGAGAGAGAGAGAGAGAGAGAGAGAGGGAGAGAGATGTGTGGGAGCAATTTTCTTGAATAGATGAGAGGATAAGATTTACTAAACAAGTGGAGGACTTGACCCTGGCTAGCTGCAAAGACAGCTTATCCACAAGGGCAGGAGAGAAAGCACAGTAAACGGTCACAGGCGCTGGGAGGTGCACCTGGGGAAATTCTTTTAAATGTCCCTATTTTCACAATGAATGAGGCTGGGGAAAGAGCTACACAAGGGCTGTAGTGAAAGGAGAGTGTCTGAAATATTGTCTAGGAGTTTGGAAGAATGAATACTTTGGGGAAGATGGTATAATGGCTGAGTAATATTCAAGGCTAGTGATGATCCATTTTAAAAATATTTTTCCTTTAATTAACTTTTAATTTTGAAATAATTTCAGAATTACAAAAAAGGTGGGAAAATAGTTAAAAGAATCCCCGTATACCCTTCACCCAACTTTCCCAAATGTTAACATCTTAACATTAATACTGTACCATAGTATAATTATCAATATTGAGAAATTATCATTGATCCACTATTATTAACTAAACTACAAACCTTTTTCTCCTTTGATAGGCTATCCTATTAGTACCCTTTTTCTGGACTAGGATCCAATCCAGATCTCACATTCCATTTAGTTGTGATGTCACCTTAGCCTCCATGAATCTGGGACAGTTCTTCAATCTGTCTTTCATCACCTTGACACTTTCAAAAAGGTCCATCATAGAATGTCCCTCAGTGTGGGCTTGTCTGTTTCCTCACAATTTAATTCAGGTATGTATTTTTGGCAAGAGTAACACATTAGTGATGTTGTTCTCTCTCTCAGCACATCATACGTGGAGTACATGATGTCTGCAGGGACGCCCCACTGTAAAGTTACTATTTTTCCCTTTGTAATTAAAAAGTAGCTGACTGGCCGGGCGTGGTGGCTCACGCCTGTAATCTCAGCACTTTGGGAGGCCAAGGCAAGTGGATCACCTGAGGTCAGGAGTTTGAGACCAGCCTTCACATGGTGAAACCCCATCTCTACTAAAAATACAAAAATTAGCTGAGCGTCGTGGCGGGCACCTGTAATCCCAGCTACTCAGGAGGCTGAGGCAGGAGAATCGCTTGAAACTGGGAGGTGGAGGCTGCAGCCAGCCGAGATTACACCACTGCACTCCAGCCTGGGCAACAGAGTGAGACTCTGTCTCAAAAAAATAAATTAAAAAAAAAGTAGGTGATTATGAATTTAAAATAAGGGCATTCCACGTGGGCTTTCTCTGACCCTGTTCGGTTCCACTGGTGTAGGTATTGAGTAGGTGCAGAGTTGATTTAATATTGTGGTTTATCAAGTGAGCACCTTAAAGTGTAACCTAAAACAGCTGCAGATGTCATCCAAGAGGAGGGTTAACTGCCTCAACAGATTTTCGATGTAGACCAAAACAATCAATTATATTAACAGAAAGAATGTCTGATAGATTGTATATGATCTCAAAGGCGGAAAACAGATCTGATTTTAAAGTTTCACAGGACTAACTTTGTATACCCATCTTCAGTGGAAATGCTTCTGAGGACTTCTGAGACATACTCCTTAATCTGTTTTAGTCACTAAGGATTTATACACAAATGTATTGGAAAATAACCTTCTGAAATCTAACATGTCCATAAGTAAGGAGGTTCTAGATTTTCATTAATGCATCCAATAAATCCTTACTGAACCAATATCTGGACCGAAACCTGAACATCTGGTGCGTGCTACAAGTGATAGAGAAAATTAAAAAATATGTCAAGTGTCTAATTAAAACATCCCAGGAACTCTGAAAAGTCAGAAAGCAGAAATATGATTCTGAACTTCTGATATAGGAGATGTGCCTAACTAAGCATTTTTCTTACAATAAGATCTAATACTACTCTGTGGCTTTAGCTGTATACTCTCAAAGAAATGTAGAGAACAGAGGCCTGAGGTGAGACAGGAAATACACTAGACCACAAGTCAAGAGATCTTGAATCTAAATTTGATTGGGTTGCAACTTGTGTGTCCAAGTCAAGCTGGGATAGCAAAGTGGCTAAAAGCTCGTTCTGTGGAGTTACAAAGGCTTGGGTCCCAAAACTAGTCCCTGGGTTTATGGTCTTCTTAACCTAAGCCCCAGTATCCTTATAAGCAGACAGGAAAAGTAAATAGCACCTACATCATAGCATAGTTACGAGGCATAAATAAGGGAATGCATGGAGAGTACTTAGTATAATATAATGACTAACACATAACATATGTTCTAAAAGTGCTAGTACTCATATTTAATCATTTTTATTACTATAATTAATAATTAGTCACCTTTCTGTGCTTCATTTTCCGTATCTATAGAATGAGGAGAATCAACCAGACTAGAACTTCTCTAGCATGAATACATACATGAAAAAATTATCCCAGACTTCTAGAGTTGTCTTTACCTATTTCTTTTACATAAGCAAATAGCAAAGTTGGGGTAAGCTGCTACTGCAGTTAGATCATAACTGTAAATCCAAACTAAGCTTAAAATTAAGTTCAAAACGCACAGGAAAACCACACTAAGATTTCTAATGAGGTTAGTAGTGACTTTCTGGAATTAAATTCATGCTTTGCCCTGTGAGCATGGTGCTGACCCCCAAGGCCCAGGGTGGTCTGCGTTCACTGCCCTGTTACCTACCGTGCATTCTGCAGCAGTTCAATTCCTCTGCTTTGCTTTCTTTGAACTACTGCCATCTCTGGTGATGTCATTTGGCCTTCACTTTACACAACTCATTATTCTGTCAGAGCTGGATCTTTCCTCATTCGCCCTTGAAAATTAAGAGAATAACCTGGCCTCAATTCCAGATTCATCTTATAATGCAGATCCTGCAGCTTCCCTGCTCTAAATCTTCCAGTAGCTCCCTACTGCCTGTCAATATCCTAACATTTAAGTTCCTATCAGACTTCCATTGCTAGCCTGACCTACCCAACTTCTTCTCTAGTCAAACTGGAATATCTACTAAGTGGCCCCTCTAGAATTTGTTAAGATTTCCTTTGTGGCCAATCTTGGTAAATATTTCAAGTGTACCAAAGAGGAATGTGTGCTCTTGATTGATTGGATACAGGTATCTATATATCAATCAGATAAAGTGTATTACTTGGTTTATCGAAATCTCCCATATCCTTAGGAATCTTTTGTTTGCTTGAGCTTTTATTTTCTAAGAGACACATGCTTTTTTTAAAAAAAAGGGGTTCTCATTTTAGAGGTAGATTTATCAATAGCTCCTTGTCATTTTGTCAATTGTTGTTTCTGGTATTTAGAAGTTATGCGGTTGAGTGCAGACAGTCATAGGCTGGCACATCACCTTGATGAATCATTTCTTTGTATCCTTAAAAAATAAGCCTGTTAGAGTCTACTTTGTCCACTATTAATATATTGTTTGCCTAGCCTATGGTCAGCTTCCTTGATACGTTGCGAGCTAGAGTGTGGATTCTCTAGTCCCTGTTTCAGAGAAAGGGTCTTAATTTTGAGGCTCTCAGATTTATGCAGGGCGTTTTATTTCAGTTCTCTGCTTGCTGCAGACTAGGGAGTTCATCTCCACTTTCCATATATATATATGTATATGTATGTATATGTGTGTATGTATATAAAGAGCACAAGAACCATTTTAGTGTAATTTAGCAACAAATCAGTTATATGTAATTATAATAATAACAGTAATGAGTATGATACTTCCTTTATACAATCAACTTTTGAATTATCATTGAGAAAAAATAGTAGTTGACATTTATTGAACATTTTCAGTGATCCAGGAACTGTGTTGAAGCATTCTGAGGATGTTCTCATCTAATTTTCACAACTCTGTTTGGGGTAGGTGCCATTATTGCCTCAATTTTACAGATGTGGAAATTAAGAATTAAAGGGTTAACTTGACCAAAGTCATATAATTGGTAAACGATGGTGTCGGTATTCAGACCCAGTCTATCTGACTTTAGGGTCCACATATGTAACCACTTCATATCTCATCTTACGTAGCCTCAGTAGGCAAACAGGGCATATTGTGTATCCATAGTATCTCTTAAAAATCATTAGGGATCTCTTAAAAATCACACAGGGGCCAGGCATGGTGGCTCACGCCTGTAATTCCAGCCCTCTGGGAGGCTGGGGCAGGCAACTCATTCTAGCCCAGGAGTTTGAGACCAGCCTGGGCAACATGTTGAAACCCCGTGTCTGCAAAAAATTTTTTAAAAAAATTAGCTGGGTGTGGTGGCATGAGTTGCAGTCCCAGCTACTCAGGAGGCTGAGGTGGGGAGATTGCTTGAGCCCAGGAGGTGAAGGCTGCAGTAAGCTATGATCGTCCTACTGCATTCTAGCCTGGGCAACAGAGCAACACCTGTCTCAAAAAAAAATTAAAATTAAAGAAAAAAAACCATTAGGGGGAAGAAAAAATACTACCATGTAAAAATGGACAAGGGCCTGGGATAAGCCATTTACAACAGAATACACTCAGTAATAAACATACGAAAAAATGTTTAAACTCATTAATAATCAAATACTAATTACAATAAGATGCTGTTTTCTTTCTGTACTGCAAAAGAAGCAATAGAATGAAGAGACAACCCATGGTCTGGGAGAAAATATCTGCAAATTATATACTGGATAAGGGGCTGACATCCAACTCAAAGTACTCAATAACAAGAAAACAAATAACCTTACTAAAAATTGGGCAAAGGACTTGAATAAACATTTCTCGAAAGACAACATACAAGGTCAGGCATGGTGGCTCATGTCTGTAATCCCAGTGCTTTGGGAGGCTGAGGTGGGAGGATCTCCTCAGCGGGAGTTTGAGACCAGCCTGGGCAACACTGTGAGACTCTGCTCTACAAAAAAATTTTAAAATGAGCTGGACACAGTGGTGGGTGCTTGTAGTTCCAGCTACTCAGGAGGCGGAGGTGGGAGGATCTCCTGAGCCTGGGAGTTCGAGGCTGCAGCGAGCTAATGACTATGCCACTGCACTCCAGCCTGGGGACAGAGCGAGACCCTATCTCTAAAATACTTAAACAGTATAAAATCACTATAAAGAGCATTTTATTAGTTTCAGAAGACAAGATCTTAATCTTATCTTTGACTATGGCTGTGTGGCCTCCCACTTCCTGTGCTTCACCCTGTTCCATCAAAAGTCTGTCCCTTCTACTTGGGAGAGGTACTATGAAGTACCAGGAAGAAGGGTGCCTGTTAACCTTTGTGCAGATGTTTCTGAAGGGCAGAGGTCATCTGAGGGAGGTCTAGAGATCAAGCAGGAGATAAGGGTTGGTATTCCATGTCGCTGGAGCCATTCCCTTCTGGGATTCCTTAATCCTTTAGGCAGATCATGTCAGCAACTCATTCAGGAAGTTCTGGCCTTTAAAATCCACATCTCCATGACTGTAAGAAGCTCTTAAAGCCCTCAATGCTCTCATACTTTTACAGCTCACAGAAAACATTCATGTTTGACTCTTTGTCCCATGAAAGTATGAAACATAAATATATTTATTAAGAAACACACTAGGCCAACTAACTCTAGCCCTCTGGTATGGCTGTAGAAATCATAGCCATTCTAATTCATCACAGCTTGTCTTACGGTGCACAGTACAAGAGTAGCAAAACCGGCCCTTCTGGTTTTTAACTAACTGATTTCTATTAAGCAAATGGTGCCAAACCGGATTTGTTATACTCATGGTTCCACTTTCAACCCCTGTGGTCTCTCACTTTAACTCCTTTCAGAAAGCTGCTATCATCATTGACCCCATTAGTGCCGTCTTCTTTTTACCTTCACTGGGGACATCAAGTGTCTAACAACTATGTACTGCCAATGTCCTCAGTCAGGGAGTGTACAGGGTGAGGCGCTTTGCTTTTTCTTTTCCTAAGTAGGAACACTTGGGGAAAGTGATACACCAAGTTACAAATCCTCTAGAAGCAATCCCTTCTAACGTTCTGAGTTTGGGAGAGAGTAGAGAGTTGGGAAGAAAGGAATGTTCTGGCTTCCTTTGCTCCCATTGAGAGCAGTGGTGACCCAGAGCTGCCACTGAGCCTAACTCAGATGGCTTGGGAAGTGACGGTGTGTGTGTAGCTCCTGGGCACAAGGAAGGTACCCCAGCAATGGCCACGCAAGTTTGCCATGAGAAACCTTTCCAGGGCAAGGTACCATCCAATGAGAAGCAGAAACACAGACTGTCTCAAGGCTGAAAACACCTAAAGCCATCTGGTTTGGTGGTTTGCATGCAATCTCTTGTAGTCATAGAAACTTTTCTTCAAACAGCAGAGCCTAGTATGTCAAACTCATACAAGCATAGTTGCTTTCTTGGAATTGCAGTGGGGAGAAGAATAAAGCCCCGCAAACTGCCTTCCCCATGGCTTCTGAATAGAGCTGGACACTATATTCTTTTCCTTGGTTGGGTATTACCTCACCTGGAAAACCTGGCAAAAGAAATGAAGACATTTTCTGCTACCTGGGGCAGGGCGAAGAGAGAAGCAATGTCCTGAAACTTTAATTCTACCCTGATAAAATTTGCCATCATATTATAAATTGGGCAACATATTATAAATTTGGCAACATATTATAAAGTGGAGATTGCAATTGTCAGAAATGTAGCATAACTGTCAACAGCATACTAAACTATGTGATACTGAAATGTGAGTTACACTTCTAGTTGTCTAGTTCTGGTATAAGAAATACAAGTTCTTTACCAACACTCAACCCACAGAATACAATGAACTCTTACATGTCCTGCCCTTACTCCCATACACAACTTTCAGCCTCATACACTTATGAATAAAACAAATACTCCATAGGGCAGTAGGCATAAGCAGAATGCTAGGTTTGAAAAGCAAGTCAGATCTACTGTTTAAGGTCATATGTTGACATTAGAATGAAGAATAAGTCATTACAAAGCATTTTTCTCACCTGTGGTTCTAATTGCTACAGGTGTTTGCTGAGGGTTGAATAGAGAGCATGCAGCTCAGACACTGTTGATATGGTACACATTCCTCCTAAGTTTAGGATTAAATCCCAGCCAGTACAGGGACTCAGACTCATCTATCAAAGTCCGGTGTGCACATTAGGAAAAAACCTAAGAAAGATCATGTGCATTTAACACCTTTCCCTGTAGCCATTCCAAGGAGCTTCACATTGCAGCCCTTTTTCACCTTTGTTAGGCACACCAAGTGGCCTGGAAGATGCTGAGAACAAAGAGGCTTTCTTCCTTGGGTTACCGGTTGAAATTCATCATCAATTCAGCCCAGCTCAATCAATGGTGACGGCAGCTCGCAGACCCAACTCACGTGGGGGAGAGTCAAGGCCTCCTTACATCACTGTACCAGGACTCCTTCAGGCACTAGCTCTCCCACAGCTCCTGTGCCACCCAGAGGAGTATAAAGACCTGTGACAGAATGTAGGACACCGCCTAGAGCACAGCATTTGTGCCACGGTCCGAGAACTGCAAACTAGAGTTGCCAACATTTGGAGACATTAAGAAAGTTAAATGTGAAATGTTGTGGATAAATGCCCAGGATGTACAGCCCTCCAATATTTCAATTAACATAGACTATCATCACATAAAGCAGGGCTGCGGAGACCAGAAAACTGGGCTGTTTTATTTTAATTTTCTAACAACATCCACGGAGCACTGACTCTGTGACTGGCACAGAACTAAGCTCCTGACACAGATTATCTCTTTAACTCCTCACAAGACCCTTTGGTAAGTACCATTTTAACCCAGTTTCACAAATGAGGAAACCCCTGGGGCTTAGGTTAAGTAGCTGGTCCAAGGACCCAGAGCTGACAAGCGGCGGCCAAATGTGAACCCAGCTGGGTAGAGCTGTGCTGTACTTCCTGTGCTTGAAATTTAATGCAGATGCCAGCACCCTCAATTAATGGAATAATTGTGAAGCTAAAACAAAATCAACATTTAAAACAGTGCCTTCCACATAGTAATGGACATTGCTCATGCTTAAGTGCCCAATATTAAGGAAACAAATATTATTTAGCTTTTTTTGGTGAAGGACACAATCATACAATATACACAAATATCTAATATTAGCTGGTTGCAGACAGTCTAAAATGATCACTGCAGCTAAAAAAAAAACTCAGAAATGTTTCTGAGAATCAGAGGAGTGTGAATAAACAACACTATTCTACCAAAGCAATATAATAAAAAATTGTTAAAATAAAAAAAAAAAAACCCTCAAGTAGTGATAATACAGATAAGTGTAGTCTTTGGAAATGATTTAAAATTTCATTTTGATGTCTAAATTATAAAGCCTCAAATTAATCATTGTAAGTTGTTTTAATAAAGTTGAAAGTTTAGTACCTAGTGAAGTAACTTATGCATAGTAGGTTTCCAATAAATGATTCTGGAATGAATGACTAAATTCATAAAGGCACTTTTGAAAACAGACAGACATTGTCCTTTCCTTGTGTTTGGATTTTTTTTTTTAATTCCATGATAAAGGTTGCATGACATTTCCTTATAAGTAATTTTTGTAAAGGAATCCCAGGATCTCTGGTTCAAACAAAGGATATAACTATCACCTTGAAAGACAAAAAGAAATAATTGGCTGAAATAATTAAAAACGGATGTGTTTGTCTTTACAGTGAAATATGGGGATAAAAAAAGTAGCAGCTTCTTCAAAATATCTTTATTAACATTTGAGAAAATATAAAATGATTCTCTAGGCGACAGCATGAAAACACATGAAATAAGTGGGTACATTTAAGCCACTGTGACTGGTGAAGAAGACATTTCCCCGTACATATAATTAATATAAACAGGTAAATTCAGACCAATAAAACACCTCTTTCTCAAAAGCATTTTAGTGCCCTGTGTTACACTGGAGACTCAGTAGTTGAACAAATATGTGCTGAAAAATAGCTATTCATTCTTTAACAGTACTTAAAAAAACTAATATGAACATAAAAACACAAATTACTCCATTATTTCCATAAGGTAAAATATTAGGTTAAAACTATAATGGCCAAACTGTTTAGTAAACCTCTGTCCTATTTCAAAGGTAAATAGATAAATAAGAGACAGGTCTATGGAAAATAAAGAAGATGTCTAGCAACACTTTTTACATCATTTCAACAGAACCAACAGCAAATCTAAGGTTCCCCAAGCATTTCCCACTTATTAGGGAAATCGATAGCACTACCTGCGGGGTGCCTGCGGTTGCTTTTGCATAAGGCTTTTATCTCATTTTAGCAACATTTAAAAAATGCAGGATGTCTATAACCTTGGCACTCATCATTACGCTGGCATCTTTAGTACAATTTGCTAATAGAGTGAAAGCACTGTGGTTCAGTTTGGGAAGCTTCTTCATAAGGTTCTGCAAAATTGCAAAGGGGATGGAACAAATAAATAGGCTGACTGTGCGTACATCAGAAAAAGCAGACCCTTAAAATCAAAAAGGGAGCTATTCATTATTTCAGAAACACATTATTTTACAAAAGAAGAAAGAAAATTGAGGGGATTATATTTTCAAAAATATAAGAACTATAAAATAATCTAAATTGAATTTCATTTGTCCTATCTAAACCCATCCTACACCGATACATCATTTCTATAGACAAAGCGGGTCAGATGTGTTAGAATAACATATATACATATAAAACATACTAAGCCATGGATTTAATTTTCACAACTATCTCATTTGCCTAAATGTTTGGTACTAAGTGGTAGAAACAGAAAACAAAATGTTCACACCTGAGAAGATTACATATTAAACCGCCCGAGGTTTTAGCCTCATACTTGCTGGAAGAGATCTGCAAGGAATGAAACCTGGATGCCTGCGGATTCCACGTGTGACAAAGCATTTTTTTGAAAAAGCATTTAGAAGGCTTGCTTTCGACTACGCAAAACAAAGCATACATTTTAAAGGCCAAACGTCAGTCAGTAAAACTCAATTCCCGTAGTTCTCCTGGTTCCAATGATCTTGAAGAGCATAGGTACCTGACTCAATTTATGCCATTTTTTATGCTTAAAAATATAAACATTTTTTCACATTCACAAAATATGCCCGATATATATTACTTGAGACTAATCTTAGCCATCAGAGCTGCCTTTTGTTTTCAGCTTTGTATTTCTGAGAAACTAATGAATCTATGGTGCAGATACAGCCAAAGTGGAAATAAATTCATAGTCTGGGGCAGCAGTATAATTGGGACACAGTAATCTTACGATGAAAAGAAACAGTACACCAGCACTATAAAGGAAAACGAGTTGCATAATATTTTCCAGAGTCTGATTACTTTTTTGTTTAAACTTTTCTATTTTTTTCATTGTTTTAAAATGCATTTGCTACTTAGGAGAAAAAGGAAGAGATGGTTATGGTGTGAATCTTGAAAGATCCCCAAAGCTAGAAAGATCTATACAGAAGTCTCTCATTTTCCAACTTCTGTTACAAAGTTCCTGCACTTGTACTTCGAAAAAAACCAAACCTGGAAGGAAGCTTTACCTAGTTTACTTTCTGAGTTCGGATTTCCGCATCTATCATACAGGTTCTTTCTAGCGCTCTTTCCTCCTCACATCTCCAGAGAAACACGCACAGTTTTGCAAACACACACGATGTATCGATCACTGCACACACAGGTTCATCAACACCAAGACAGAGGCGACACTTCACAATATGATAACCGGAACAGAGGACGATGACAGTAAGAAATGGGTTTCTTTTACAGCCCGCTTGGATCCCTAATGCCCTTATTTCTACACAATCCAGCCTCAGCCAGGAACTTTAAAGGATCAGAAAGACAAAACAGGTTGCATGAAAGGAAGAGAAAGAAAACCGAATGCCCGCTTTTCGAGAGCACTGCAAAATGAGCCCCGGGACCCAGCTGCGCAAAAGTGCAGCGTTAAAGAATGCCAGCCCATATTCTAGACACCCAAGTAAAGCATCCTGCAATAGAGAGAAGTAAATAATAAATAATAGTGGTTTTTGCCATTAAGCATAAGAATAGTAATAACAATTGTCACCACGGCGTTCCGTACAGCAGCTGCACGTGGAGCCGGCTTCTCCTCCGGCCCCCACGGCCCGCAGCCTCCCCTGCAGCCCCCCAGGGCGGCTGAGTAAGGCGAGAGGACTTCGCGCGGGCCGCGCACTGGGCTGGGCTGGCCCCTCCCCTCCCGGGGCCCGCCCCGCCGGTCCCGCCCCCGCGCCTGCGCCTGCGCGTCAAGTGGCTGGGCTGGCTTAGCGGATCCCGGTTGCTAGGGTGTGTCTCCTTGGCCTCCTAGAGGGTGGGGATCCGTGGTGCTTCTTCGGGAACAGCCTCCTGCAGGAAGACCCGCCACCTCGCTGGACCTTTACCTCGCTGCCTAGATTCCGAGGAATAGGAGATAGGAGACGAAAAGCCAGTTGGTTTGGGAAGCGGCTGATTATCCTAAAGGGTAGTGTGGGAGTCCAGCACTTCCGTGCACCTCTTTGGGTACTACGGAAGGGAGATTTCCAACATCGAGTGGAATATATGACCAGGGAGTACACCTTGAGCGCTTGTGTGCAGTTATCTTTTGGCGGTAAACGGCCCATTTGTGCAGTTCCAGGGTGTTCCCTTCTAGGCTATCAATGGAGTAGTGCCGTGCCAGGCACTTTTGATGTTACCCTGCAAACTAAAAGCACATTTTAGGGGTGCATCTTCTGGCATCATTTCTAAACAGCATGAGTTGGGATCCAGCAGCCCTGGGAAACCTCATTATAGTGAAACCTATCTTATTTTAGGATTGAATGGTTTTGGCCCAAGGATAGTGGTTGAAAAACAAGCCGTTACAGAAAGAAGACAATTTGTTTGTGAATGGTTAGATATGGTGGGTCTTCAGAGGCTTATCTAATGGAGAAATCGTCTACACATTTCTGACCAAATTCTTTCTACATTTATAGTGATAACATTTTGGAGGGAGAGAAAAAAATGTCATTTCGACTATTCTGAAAAATCAGTATTTACTAGTTGAAACAGCATTGGCAAATTGAACTTTGTGCTAGCATGGAAAATTGTAGAAGGATCCTAGGTAGTAATAATACACATATTTTTAAAATTATATGTTTACTTATAACCCTACATTTTAACTGGATTCTTTCTATTAATAGAAGTTTTAAAGAATTATTTTCTTACCCTCTTTTTTTTTCATAAAGGAATTCTGCTTGGATTCAGTAGAATATTGCAACAGAATGATTTTCATTAAGATGTAATCTAAATTCTTATTTTTCAACAATTCACACATATTCAAAACCTTTTCAATTCTCACTTACACCAAGGATTATGAAAAACAGCACTTACTATTCATTAAAATGCGAAAGCCCCCACTACTTCTTCGAAGACCTTTACCTCCAAAATTCACTAAGCCGTCTTTACATGAGATAAAAACCCGTACAGGTATGTGTATTAATCAGATATGTGTGTTAACATTTATGTATCTTTCATAGAAATTCCTTGACTTGCATAGCTCAGAATCGCAATAAATACACTCACTAATAACTTACAAATGTTTGTTGTCAGATGAAAGCATCCAATTCAAGCCTACAGATGCATTTATTGATGCTTATTGGTGGACTTAGTAGGTTCAAGTTTACCTCATCGATAAAATTTACTTCTAACCCCAGAATTGGTACTCATAGGGCTTTCTCAGTCGTGCGTGGATGTGTGCAGAGCACTGAAAAATTTGAGTCACTCAACACCCATGCCCCCGCTGAGGTGGAACAATGCTACCTCTGCCTTCTTGTTTCAGCTCTCATGTTGTAAACAGGTACTGTGCTCCCTGTCTCTTTAGCCTATGTTTCTTGAATGTTTTGTGCTTTTAGTTAGTGATTTCACTGTGGGCTCCAAGCATAGTGCTGAAGTACTGTCTAGTGTTCCTGAGCACAAGAAGGCTGTGATGGGCCTTACAGAGAACAAGATATGTGTTAGATAAGCTTCCTTCAGTCATGAGTAGTGTTGTTGGCCCTGAGTTCAATGTTAACAAATCAACTGTATATATTTATTAAAGTGTCTTTAAATAGAAACAAATATAAAACAAAATTACATGTTGATCAGTTGATGAAAATGTTGAAACCAGAGGTTTGTAGGAACCTAACCCCATATTTCTCCTAGGAGAAATGGTTGAGTAATGAGTAATTCATTGTTTGCAGAACAGAACTACCACAAATAACGAGGACTGAATATATTTAGTGAGCAAAAACAGACCTTACCAGTTCCCTTCAGTAGTTACCCACTGGGATAGTGATTGTAATCAATCAATCATGTAAGTAAATGTAAAATTGCCATGTGATAAGTGCTATAAAGTAAATATGAGCCACTTTTATAACTATAACTTTATATAATACTTAATCCTCTATTTCTGTGTATGGTTTCTATTCCCTCCTTATTATAAGCAATACAATTAGCATATTTTCTCATTTTCCCCTTCTTAGTCTCCTCTTCCATCTGATTTTAGTTGATTGCAGTTTTAGTGTCAACATTTATACTGTTCAAATATACCTAGTCTATAACTTGATTTATAATGTTAAATTATCATCTTTTGACCTATGGCTATTAACAATATGTAACTCAACTTACCTGTAATACTGCCACAATTTCCTCTCTTACTTTCTCTCCCAACTTTTGTTACATGATTTCTACCTCATCATTTCTACATTTCTAGAATGTTCTGCATGTACAATCTGCTCTGTAATAATACAGTATGCAGATTTACAGCTCAAGATTACCTGTTATCTTGTAGTTTCTCTATTCATCTTTTGTTTAAAGTTTATCTTCTAGTACAGAATTTCACAACCTTGGCACTATGGACATTTTGGGCTGGATGGTTCCTTATTTGGTGGGGAAAGCAGAGCTCTCTTGCTCCAAAGGCTCTTGACAAAGGGCTTTGCACATAGTAAGTGCTCGAAATTTTTTTTTTATTTATTCTAAAAAAAAAACAAAACAAAACAAACAAACAAAAAAAAACAGGATACATGTGCAGAACGTGCAGGTTTGTTACATAGGTATACGTATGCCATGGTGGTTTGCTGTACCTATTTACCCATCCTCTAAGTTTTCTCCCGTCACTCTCCACCCCCTAACAGGCCCTGGTGTGTGTTGTTCACCTCTCTGTGTCCCTGTGTGTGTTTTTTTTTTTTTTTTT